CTCTCTCTCTCTCTCTCTCTCTCTCTCTCTTCCTTCTGGCACTGTGGCATCATAAGTGATCAGCGATGCCGACAGCACGCGGGAACTCAATACTCCCTCGGGGATGCTTAAAAGGTGCTGAACATATGTCACTAACATGTCACAACAGATGTGTTTTGTCACGATAGTTGGAAGGACATTTCAGGAATACGTGGTCCATAGTCTCGTCCTACTCACTGCTAGCTCAACAGGACGGATCTGTCTGGCCAACTGATAATATTGTGGAAAAAACGGAGTTCGTAATAAATTTCTCTGCTTCGCCTTTCTAGAATTCTGTGATCCCGAGAAATTGTTGTTGTTGTTGTTGTTGTTGTTGTTGTTGATGATGCTGTTGTTGTTGTCGCTTTTGTTCTTGTTTTTGCTTTTGATGTTGTTTATGTTGTAGTAGTAGTTGTTGGTGTGGCGTATATGAATTGCGCAAAAAAGAAATAGTAAAAAAAAAAAAATCAATTAAATTGTATTGTCTCGCATTGTATTTCTGTTGAACTGTAATTACTTACCCTATGCTAATGTTATATAATATGAGTCATTCTGAAAGAGGGGCTTACAGTTACACGGGGAGAGATAGAAATTCTTTAGAAAGGACAAAATGCAAAAACATCAACAACAACAACAACAACAACAACAACAACAACAACAACAACAACAACAACAACAACAACAACAACAACAGCAAAAAACAACAAAACTGCACCACTTTGGATTCAATCCCCGAACATGTGCGTAGCGACAAAGCTCACTGGAACCGGTTCAACTTCTAACTCAATGTTAATGCTGAATTAGTAGTTAACAGACTAAAGGCAAAGTTACGACACATTGGCAACTTTCATACACAAATAAACAACTTGCGAATTTTTTTGGTAAACATATCGATGTCTGGCTTTCTAAGTTTTAGATAATGACAATATAATTTTTTTAATTGAATGAATAAGGAGATTAAGAATCTTTCTTTTTTTTAGGTACTCCAAAAACAGTGCTACCACAATGAGTTAAACTGAAGAATCAACCATTAAAACAATAATTTAACTAGCTAGTTTTTCTATACCTCTGTGAGTCTAAGTAGACTGCAAAGTTTTCATGAACACAATCTTTTTTTCTTTCTTGACTTTCCTCCCCTCCCCATACCCACACAAAACTTTGTTTACCCCCTTCCCATCCTTCTCCCAAACGTTGCCTACCTCCCCTTCCTC